ATTATATCAATCCACCAAGTCGTATCATGAATGTCAATCAAAATCATAGCGTATCCATCCTTTAAATATGTTCACGTTGACAAACATAAAGGTAATTATTCGGCTACTCTACAAACACAAGGTAACAACTTTAAGCTTATTAACAGGATTTATATTGTACAAGATATATTTTCATTTAATTATCAACATTTTTTGAAAGTAGCTCAAATCAACATTCATTTGAGTATGACAAACCACTTTCAGCTAGTAGCCTATAAAAACCTTTTTAATGAAAAACTACTAAAATATATACTATGCTAAAATACAATACTTTTTTTTAGATTAGTCGATAAAATAGAAAAAAACAAGACAGGACCATTTCAAAAAAGAATGAGAAAATGCCTGCTTTACTGCATTATAAATATATTATTTACTCTAATCTTATCGAAAAAAAATTCAGAATCTGAGTAATAATGAAAACTGCGATACTTTTTGGAGCTTTGGTTACAGTTGTACTTTGTCTCCCAAAGAAGGACATACACATGAAGATATTACAAAAAAAAAGATAGTAAGACTTACTAAAAATATGTGTTTTTAAAAGAAATATAAAAGCGAGAAAACTTAATAACAAACTGTGACACAATTCCAGTTTGGTGCCTTTATCTTCGCTGTACAATATGGATATTAAAAGTTATAAAAGATATTGGAAATGGTCGTAATTGTCTGTTTTATAATTTACTGTTACTGGTAATTTACTTCTGAGCTTATCCAGTTTCTTAAACTTCTTCTTTTATCTTTTTACATCGAGTACAGTATAAATTGGCATATTTTACTTTGATTGTCTGTATACATATCAATTGCATCTTTAATCAAAAATGGCTGGCAGTTTGTTAAAAACGACGAATGAATCACATTCTTGTGCTAAAGTGTATTTGAAAGGTGTGAATATTCATTATATAGTATGTTGAGTTGATAAAAATCTTAAATACTAAGTGTTTAAATAAAGTCCGAGTAAAATAGTGTGTAAAGGCTTTCAAAGGAGGATTTCCTTCCCCCTCCTATCCCCTGTGTAGGGCCTGAATAATACCATATATCTTAATTGTATCGCTGCTGCTAGACCTCCAATTACCGAAGATGAATAAAAAGTGTAGCTAAGTAGATATTTTTTTCCAATAACGTATGATTTAGATAATACATATTCATTTCTGATCTTTGAATTATATAATTCGACAGAAAAAAAGTCGCCCCTCATTCAAGCAAACATTCCGGTGCATTTTGTTAAGACCTTTTTTCATTTAAATATATATATACATATATATATATATACACACAAGTCTAAATTGAAAACAACGTTCAAACCTATGATTGCTTTGGATAAAAACCGCAATTTTTATACGTGTGCATGCAAAACAAATTTCTTGGTAGAGGGGTCTAAATACAGCCCAAACAACATTTTCCTAAAGACCAAATGAGTGAAAACGTATATTTTAACAAAACGCATTTGACTAGCAGGTCGAACAACTGATGTTCTTAAACCCTGCTGACTGCCATTGGCGATTGCCAAATAAACGGATCACAAGATGTAACAAAACAGATCTTATTATTAAATAATTACCAAACAGAAAACAATGAACTTGCGGAAAAGATGGTCTACCGCAAACATGAGGTGCAAAAATGTGTACACCATATCCGGATTTCGACAATTAATGTCTCTTCAGTGATGTTAGGAATCGAAACGGTATTTGGAAGGCCATAGAATTTACCTCAATTTAGGATAGACTCTTGAATTTTGAAAGAGTCAAAATAGAATGAACAGATCATATAAACCCGAAGGCAAATATAATACAAGCCCAAACGAAAAAATATAAACAAGTCTATATTGAAAACAACGTTCAAACCTATGATTGCGTTGGATAAAACCGCAATTTTTATACGTGTGCATGCAAAACAAATTTCTTGGTAGAGGGGTCTAAATACAGCACAAACAACATTTTCCAAAAGACCAAATGAGTGAAAAAGTATATTTTAACAAAACGCATTTGACTAGCAGGTCGAACAACTGATGTTCTTAAACCCTGCTGACTGCCATTGGCGATTGCCAAATAAACGGATCACAAGATGTAACAAAACAGATCTTATTATTAAATTATCACCAAACAGAAAACAATGAACTTGCGGAAAAGATGGTCTACCGCAAACATGAGGTGCAAAAATTTGTACACCATATCCGGATTTCGACAATTAATGTCTCTTCAGTGATGTTAGGAATCGAAACGGTATTTGGAAGGCCATATTGTTTACCTCAATTAAGGATAGACTCTTTGAATTTTGAAAGAGTCAAAATAGGATGAACGGATCATATAAACCCGAAGGTAAATATAATACAGGCCCAAACGAAAAAATATAAACAAGTCTAAATTGAAAACAACGTTCAAACCTATGATTGCGTTGGATAAAAACCGCAATTTTTATACGCCAATGGCAGTCAGCAGGGTTTAAGAACATCAGTTGTTCGACCTGCTAGTCAAATGCGTTTTGTTGAAATATACTTTTTCACTCATTTGGTCTTTTGGAAAATGTTGTTTGTGCTGTATTTAGACCCCTCTACCAAGAAATTTGTTTTGCATGCACACGTATAAAAATTGCGGTTTTTATCCAACGCAATCATAGGTTTGAACGTTGTTTTCACTTTAGACTTGTTTATATTTTTTCGTTTGGGCTTGTTTTATATTTGCCTTCGGGTTTATATGATCCGTTCATCCTATTTTGACTCTTTCAAAATTCAAAGAGTCTATCCTTAATTGAGGTAAACAATATGGCCTTCCAAATACCGTTTCGATTCCTAACATCACTGAAGAGACATTAATTGTCGAAATCCGGATATGGTGTACAAATTTTTGCACCTCATGTTTGCGGTAGACCATCTTTTCCGCAAGTTCATTGTTTTCTGTTTGGTAATAATTTAATAATAAGATCTGTTTTGTTACATCCTGTGATCCGTTTATTTGGCAATCGCCAATGGCAGTCAGCAGGGTTTAAGAACATCAGTTGTTCGACCTGCTAGTCAAATGCGTTTTGTTAAAATATACTTTTTCACTCATTTGGTCTTTTGGAAAATATATATATATATACATATATATATACATTTAGCTTCCTTAGTTTTGGTCCTGAGCGTACCAGATGAAGGTTTTTCAATAATGAAAATTAAATAGGAACGACCAATGTTCAAAATCCACCGCGAATTTCTCAAGAAATGAATCGTAGGGAAAACAGCGACAATTATTGAAAAGATTAAGGACTTTGAATTCGAACATATATTTGTTGCATGATTAGACTTATTTATCCGAATGAGTACTGAAGTCCATTCCTATTGGTTATCTAAGTGGCGAGCTCAGCATATAGTTAAAAACGCATAGTGAAAAAGGTCCTATCTTTTTAAATGTTCTTGTTCAAATATTGTACTAAAAGCGCGGAAATTACTGTGTGATCCGTGTAAACTCATCGAACCTTTAAACAAAATTATAAGTAAATGTTGTAATTAGATCTTTGAATATAGTTTACATTGGCACAAATATCGATTTTATTATCAGCAAATTAAAACATGACTAAATTTGATTTTTTTCAAGCGGGATGAATAAATACACATCCACGTTCATTTTCCTATATAGAGGTTAACTCCTAACTATCCTACAGCCTGTCCATACCTTTATTTTTGGTATTGCACAAGTCATGTCTTTCTTTGATTGTCCATGACGTTAGAATACTAATTCCCACGGTTGTGTTTTAGTTGAATTTTGTCTCTGATGCATAATTCTTTTAATTATTATTTGATTTTAGCTTTTAACTAGCTTTCAGTAACTGCGAGTAGTCTCAAATCGTACTTTAAAGTTAATTTCACCTGTTGACACAATTGTAATGTTTTTTGTTATTTAATGTTTATCTATATTTTATATCTATATCTATATATATATATATATATATATATATATACATATATACCAACTTTGATAAGTGTTTAGTATGATTATAAATTTTCACTTTTGTTTCTCGTACTATTAACAGCAAAATTATTTATTTTGTAAAAAATATTTCCGTTCTCCGGATCTATTTGATTGAGTTAAGCGATTGCAATTGATATTCTTTAGTGTGTTTTTTATGTTGTGATGTCACACTATTGTTTCGGGTAAGGATGAAGGTTGGTACCTACCAAAACGTTTAAATCCGCTGCCATTTGTTTGCACCTGTCCTAAGTGAGGAACCTGATGTTCAGTAGTTGTCGTTTTTTATGTGGTACATAAGTGTTACTCGTTTCTCGTTTTTTATATAGATTAGACCGTTGGTTTTCCCGTTTGAATGGTTTTACACTAGTCATTTTCGGGGCCCTCTATAGCTTACTGTTCGGTGTGAGCCAGGGCTCCGTGTTGAAAACAGTACTTTGACCTATAATGGTTATTCTTTTACAAATTGTGACTTGGATGGAGAATTGTCTCATTGGCACATCTTCTTCTATCTATGTCCTGTTGGAATTGGGATGTAACATCCAATAATTGACCGAAGATAGAATAAATGTCCTTGTATGTAAAAAGCAAAACAAAAAACACTGCAATAAATTTTATGGAAATGCGTAGGCGACATAGTGGAAGACATAAGTTCCGACACTTCCAAAGGTACCTTCCTTTAGCAAAAATAGTACACATCTTATCTCTGTCATTCCGCAAAGCAGAACCTCTCCATAATTCTTATCCTGTATTTTATATATGATTTGCCATCAAACCAATTAGCAAATGCAATCAAACTTTTTTTGTATATTGAACTGACAAAAACATGCAAACATACACTTTTTTCTGCTTAAGTAACGTTAATTTCAAATTGGCGTTCATGTGAGTGCATATACATGATAAAGTATTTTTTAAATATTAATTCTAAAGTATTTTCCAAACAATTAAAAGATAGTTAGAAAAATTGTATGTTATTTCCACGTACATTCATCAATCGTTTTCAGAACACGATAATCAGCTGGAAGAAAATCGTCGTCCGTTTACAATTGAAAATAAACATGCAGATGTCCTCCCTAAAGAGCACCAAAAAGCGCGGTTTATGGGAGGAATGTAGAGAGGGTTGTTCTTATGAGGAAGTTTGTGAGGTGGTTGGTAAGTTTTGTTCAGGTTTGGTAAGCAGCAAAACATAATAGCGTTTGCTTATATCGTTGGATAATGTTGTTTCAACATCAAATTAAAGATGGCTTGCAATATCACAAGTTTCAGTGAAGATAACTGTGAGTGCAACTGTTAAGATATAATAATAGCAATCTAGTTAAAATTGGTTCCCCGCATGTGCTCATCGTTGTCGTTCGACTGTTTATTTGTCACATGCCCAATGCAAACATCCAAAATGTTCGAATAACAAAAGGATTTAATATAGCCAGTCTAATTATTAAGATGCAAACATAAGCCGAAGAAGTCGGAATCAAATAAGCTACAAAATTGAGTGAGTCTAAGCGCCCTTATAAACATATTTCTTATACTAACACTTTTTAAAATGTATTACCCTAGATGTATTTACTTTGGGTTAGAAAATCTGTTTAAGAATGAACAAGACAGTACTGCACTTTTCCTAGAAATGCAGCTGCTTCCACTCTTTGTGATTTTGTTAGATGTATTTCTATTTGTATCCATCTGATGAGTTAAGCCTTTTTCAACTGATTTTTATAGTTCGTTCTTAAGTTGCTGTTACACCGCTGTCTCAGGTAAGGGGAGGGTTGGAATCCGGCTGACTTGTTTAACCCTGTCACATTCTGTATGTATGTGTCTGCCCCAGTCAAGAACCTGTAATTCAGTGGTTGTCGTTTTTTTTCTGTGTTACATATTTGTTTTTCGTTCAGTTTTTGTTCATTAATGAGACAATTACTTTTCTCGTTTGAAGTGTATTTCGTTTGTGTTTCGGAGCCTGTTACAGCTGACTATGCAGTATTTTGGCTTTGTTCATTGTTGAAGTCATTCCGTTGATCTATAGCTGTGAATTTCTGTGCCGTTTGGTCTTTTGTGGAAAGTTGTCTCATTGGCAATAATACCTTATCTTCTTTTTTATATATGATAACTTTGAAAGAAGTATGTATAACAATGAACAAATGGCATGCTGAAGTAACGTTTTACTCTGATTTCGTTATTGTGGCGTCAAGTAAAAAAAGCAACCGTGTCTGATGGAGTCGCATAGATATCACGATCGTTTTGCAGGTCATATAAAATGTAGCCAGTTCATGTAAATGCAAATCCTACTTTGAATACTTAAAGTCTTTATAAATTATCATATTTCAATTTTAGAACCACCAAGCCAATTTTCGTCTAGCGATCTTTCAGGTATGTCTAAAATAATCTTATAGAAAAATACATTAACAAAATGTTTCAATCAACGTGGATTTAAACAATATTGTTACAATATTACCTTGTAGATTTATCAGCTATACACTCAATGTACAGTGCATTTTATTTAGTACATAGTTAAAAATATATATAGAGACACAGAAGTCCACTTAAATAAGACAAAACATTCAAAACGAACACTAACTACACCACAAAACATAGGTATTCTGATGCTCAAGACTGCAAAGTCATGATGCAACTCGTAAATAAAGTTTAAGAGATGAATTAAATTTCAATTGCCAACCTGTTTGATACCAGCAACCCTCTATCATGAAACCACAAACATTAGAACATCAAATTAACTGGGGTATGCAGAAAAATCATGTGGTGAGACTATCTGAAGATGCCACATTCGCATGCTTCAATAACATGACGTACAATTATAGTATATTCAAAATTCTAGAAGATGACAAGAATACTCAAGGATGAAGAAGAATGAAAGTGGTTACGTTTTTAAGTGCGTGTAACGATTTTGTGTCATTAATTGATACGTCCTTTCTTAATTCGCGGGAATTTTCAATTTGAAAGGAAAGACTAGTTGAAACATTGTACCAATCTCGTTCATGAAAATAGTGATATTTAAGAATAAGAATGATCAAGAATAAAAATAATTCAGTCCTTTTATCGTACAGATAACGCCAATCGAAGAAAACGTGGTAAAGATACAAAAGAAAGGATCGTAAAGATTGTTGAAAGAAAGGCAAACGATGACTTGGGGAATATGTAAAAAAGGCTGACTGGAAGCAGATAGTTTTGAATAAAAATAATTTCATGGATATAAAACTTATAATCTTTTCATATTATAATTTAATTAAATATATAGATTACAGAAGAATTTTTTAAATAAGAACCCTGTCGCATGTTTGAAATTACAACATCTTATTTCTCTTTAGTGATACAGAAATATTCTGAGCATGACTTTATTTTGCACTTATGTAATTTATTTGGCAGAAAAATAGAGAACTTAAAATGAAAAATACAGATAATGCGTGAAAATTAATTTATACATTTTTGTATGTGTTATTGCGACAAAGAAAGTAACGAATTAAGGTGTCTTCGTAAAGTTCGGCGTTTTTCGCATGTAAATACTATGGTGTTCGTTTTAAATAAGAATTTTGTTATATACGTATCCGTCTGATCCGTGCATTTAATTAACAAGACCAGGCCAATGTCGTGGAACTAGTTTAATAACCCGAGTAAAACTAGTATGCTAGTACGCAACAAGCATAATTACTGCTAGAATGAATACACGTTTCTTTAAAATGTTAGGTTTTTTACATTTCTGACAAAATTTTACGTTTATCAACAAATTTAGATTGTATTTTACAAGGTGTATTTGATTAGGGATTGTTCTTAGTCGTGTTTCATTTAATGGGGATGACTGTTTAAAATGCTATATAAGCTAAGACATTGTGCTGCCCTCAAAGTATGAAATCTAATTGTTCATTTAACAACTTAATCCAGGTCAAACCCTAATTTGGTATATAAATCTTAAAGCTAATACAATATTTGGTATGGGACGGACAAACGGTTGAATGCACAGACCAGAAGATATAAACTTCTCCTTCCAGCATATGTTGGATATAAAACTAAAAGGATTCTTCTTAAAAATACTACAATGAATCACTCTATAAGTGTCCGTTTTTCAGACGTGTTTGTCTAGTTGAAACGTCAAACATTTCATATAAACAATTTGTAGCGATGAAGTTTTAGTAACACCTCTTACTAGGACCCATGCCATGCATCATTATGATTTTAATGGGAAGAAGTCAAACAACAACTGATTGAGATATGATATTTTTTCTCTTGAAGATGCGCATCCTTATAAGTTGAGAATGGAAATAGGGAAAATTCACTTTTATAAAATTTTACGGAATGATGACAGAGTTGTATCTGATCAATGGATCTATTATCTGAAGTTCTGTCTGCGACATGCTTGAAATTGATTATAACATTATGATATAAACAAGAAGCGAATCGAGCTGACCGTTTACTTTCGAGTAAGTTTGAAAATCCAGGTTTAACCTTTAACCTATAAATAAAAAATGAGAACATCATCTCGTTTCAGAATTAAAAATTCATCATTTTTATACTTTTAGACTTTAACTTTGATTAAGAGGTTTATAATTCACCTTTTGAGAAGAACTAAATATATGGGCCAAGTGAAAAGGCAAAAAAATGATGGGTGCATTTGATTACACGTAACTGGATCAAGTATTCATTTAAGAGGCTGCTTTCAATACAATCATCATGCACTTTAAAATGAAACATGAAACGATTTAATAAAGCAGATTGGGTTAATTTTAGAATAAATTTGACTCTAGCATATTATGCATATTCAATGTAAAAACAATACATGCAGTCAATATCTCCTCCATAATGCATCAATACAACAAGAAGATATACGTCCAGATAGGTTGGTTATGTTGAGCAATGCCATTTTTTTGGAAATCTCTATTATACCATAATGAAAATAATGTTCATTATATTCTCCTTCGCTTTGCTCATTCGAACATAAAACTTTTCTGAATACTACAAAATAAGACAACTGAAGACTGGTATGAATTGAGAGATGCACAAAAGCGCTTTGTCTCTAAATTGGTTCTAAATTCTGCTTGACGCAATTTTGTGGCGTCTTCTGAATTGTCTGTAAGAGGGTCGTCCATATACTCCTCGACGACATCCCAGCCGTACTGGTCAGCGATCCTTATGACCTTGTTACGCTCTTTCAGGGCCTCTTCAGACTCCCCCAGCAACTTAAAAGATGCTTCTAAGGAACCCCTCTCGATGAACGATTTAACCTTGAAAATTTCGTCAAGGCGAAGAGAATTGAAAGAATGCTGCTTGCTGTTACCTTCAAACTTAAATTTCTGTGTGTGGGCTGTGGAACGAGCGCTGTTTTCTAAGGCTTGTGAACTTAGCTTTAGGTCAATTTCGGAAACAATCTCCTTCTTCTGTCTGGATAAGGCTGCATCTATCTTTGTAGAAAATAAGGAAAGTGCGTCCTCAGGAGAAAAGTGCTCGTCAGACCTTGGGACTGCTCGACTAGGTATATCGTGAACGTCAGGTTCATGCGAAATTTCCTCTTAATGGCTGCACTTATAACAAAATATAACTGTCGAACTTGCTTTGGTGTTTTCTCGATAATTAGAATAAGGCGCCAAAAGAATTATATAAAGGTCTTGAACTGAATTACTACTTATTACGCAAAGAAAAATAAATACAAAAATTTTATTAAATAAGAAATATTATTTTTGATACTTCCATTTGAAATTTGTTCAGATGGAATTTCAATATGGTGGACATATGATTGTTGAGATGTGAAATAATGTTTATTTACCACTTTCAACATAACGTTAACGATTACGTTTTAAAATTAACAGTAACGCATTAAAGGTAAGTGCAATCATTAAAAAAAAAAATAATGATCTTGTTGATTTTGTTGTGTAGGTTAATTACTACCATTTATTTTCCCCTGTTAGTCTTTATTTGTACTTTTAAAAAAAATGAGCGGAATTATCTCTGTTTCAAATAAAGAAATACTTGGCATGAGTAACGTTTTATTTTGTGCAGTACCATAGAAAAATATTTCACTTTATGTTTCATTGCATATAAGAAAATTACCATAACTGGAAGTTAGCCAATCATATATTCACCGTTTTCATTGCATATAAGAAAATTACCATCACTGGAAGTTAACCAATAAAATGTTCACCCTTTTTTTCAGTGTACAAGCTTTAGTAACCATGTAGCCTCAAGTTTCCAAAATATTCTATAGAAACACCAAATAAAAAAATAATGGTGCGTTGAAACACCCAATCTATATGTCTATGACAAAGATTGTTTTTACTGCAATGAAATGTAGGATAAATTTCCTACAACTGTCAAATTCAAGGGAATATTTTCTTCGACCCCTTTTCGTATGCTACCTGATGTGACGTATTACGATTTGGTAGTATTACACCTAAAGAAGACTTTTTTGTTGTATAAACTGAATGTGAATTTTTCCTTTGTAATACTGATTATTTCAAGGTTTACTGTCAAGTTTCGTCATAATTAGTTCAATAGTTTGAGAAAAAATCTATTATAATGTAAGACGACATCTACAGCGATTCGAACAAAATTTATTCGAAAAATCCAAATCAAGCTGTATCATGATAGAATAAAGTGTGGACCAATAAAAGATCATATATTTATCTAATCGGTCTAAAACCATTTGAATTTGAAACAAAAGATGACTCTAGGATGATTAATACCACTTATGGACCTGTTGTTCTTCATTATAAGGTAACTTTTGATCCATTTATACCTCTCGTTTCTTCATAATTTAAACCTTTTTAGGCCAATAAATAAAAACTTTAGGGTAACTTGCACTCATTAATGAAAGAAATGTGATAATAAATGAGTAATATAAGTATTCAAGCTGAATGGACCATCCATATAGAAGTTTACTTACTCCATGGATGTTTACATAAGTCTTTAAGTAAAACCTTAATTTACGCCGCGTTCCAGAGAGGAACATAAAAAAATTCCCTTTTAGTGAATAATTTGTTGTAAATGCTTTAAAAAATAATTTCAAAAGTCCGACGAAGCTCCTCAAAACACCGAGTGTGGCTTGTTCTGTCTATTCATATTCGTGGTACAGCCTATTTCAAGGCAGTTTTCTCATGAAATGTCCTAAGGAAAATTCTACTTTAAAATAGTCACATTTAGAAATCTCTTGATATCTTTTTTTAATTGATTTAACTTGCTAATTTTCATATCTATTTGATCGTATTATTGCTTAGTTCCGATGCCTTTTTACCCTTAAAAAAAATTAATTATCGAAATGCAGTATTAGTGTATGTTTGTTTTATTCAAATATAGACTGCTAAATTTCAATTTTCATCTCATATTTTAGTTACCTACATGGTTTCTAATAGTATCGTGAAAAATCATGCCCTTGATTTAATAGATCAAGGTTTTTTTGGAGTACGAAAAAGGGTAATTTTATTCACTTGTTGGTAAATTGACTATATGATTTGGACATATATATTACAGAGTCAATGTTCAATCATGCAGATTTAAAATCCACGATGAATTTACGAAAATAAATTTTTATATGCACCGTGTTCCTGTTCAAAATATAACAGATTAGAACTGTTTTTCATCAAATGGAATCCAATTGTTGATGAAAACATTTATTGTCCATTAAAAATTGCAGATCACGTTATAAAATCAAAACTTAAGTTTTCATGAATAACACATATGTTGTTTTATTGACAAATTAACTCCAAGCCAAAGTTTGAAAATTGAAGATGAAAAATAGTGGATATGTAGTAATTATGATACTGCTGGTATCGTTTTTCAGAGAAAGTTATTCGGTATCATATACGAATTTTGATGAGTTCTTCAAAAATATTACCAGTGGTAAATACATAAATTTGCGGCCAGTCCTTGACCATAAATCGAAAGTGAATATATATATATGTTTTTTTTCATTTAATATATATCCAGGAATTTAATGAAGTTGAAGGAAAACTAAGTTTAACTGGATACTTTAGTATAAGCTGGGTTGATCAGACTATATCTTGGAATAGCACAGAAACATAATCGAAGTAGTTACTCTCGATGAACATATAATTTGGAAACCAGCTTTTATTATTGGAAATTCATATGACGGTGTAAACTTTATTCATAAAGACGATACTGTGATGAGAGTACAGAGTAATGGTGTTGTTACGTGAACCCCTGGAGA